TGACTGGTGTTGGTATCACAACACCTATGGCAAGGAAGCGAAATGTTGTCGAAAACCTTGTGATTTCGGCAAAGCCTCCAAGTCTTTGGGAAACTATCCCGCCGGCACGCGTTAGCGGCAACCGTCGCCGGTGGCAATAGCTGCTTACTTTACATCCATGATGTAATGAGCCAGACAAGATATCTAGTCGACACAGGTGCCGAAGTCAGCGTCCTTCCTGCTACAGCAGCAGATCGACAGAAGGATCCTAACTTCAACCTACAGGCTGCAAATGGAAAACCAATTGCAGCCTATGGTCGGAAATACGTCTATCTGAACGTAGGTTTACGCAAACCTATTCAGTGGATTTTCCTAATCGCTGACGTCACAATGCCCATCATTGGCACGGACCTACTTAATCATCATGATTTGCTCGTAGACGTCCGCCGTAAACGATTAATTGACAACACTACTAGTTTGTCTATCAAAGGCATAACTTACGTAGGCCCAAGCTTGTCAATCGTTAAGATGAAAGCAATCCTCGATCCAACTTTTCAACCGATTGTTGACAAATATCCGGAACTGTATTGCCCATCTAACGATCTCCCGTGTATAACCAGCAATGTTATGCACCACATCATAACCTCAGGACAGCCCGTGACATCTAAAGCCCGACGACTGGCCCCTGACAAACTGAGAATTGCCAGAAACGAATTCGATCATATGCTCACCCTTGGCATCATTCGGCCATCGAATAGTCCATGGGCATCCCCGTTGCATATGGTACCGAAAAAGGATAGTAACGATTGGCGACCCACTGGTGATTACCGGCGAGTGAACGCCCAAACTACCCCCGATTGCTACCCATTGCCTCACATACACGACTTGACGGCAACGTTATCTGGAGCATCTATATTCTCCAAAATCGACTTGGTTAAAGCATATAACCAAATCCCGATGGCAACGTTAGATATTCCGAAAACGGCTATCATTACGCCTTTCGGACTTTTCGAATTCCTATGTATGCCATTCGGCCTCCGGAATGCCGCCCAAACATTCCAACGCTTCATCAACGAAGTATTTCGCGGTCTCGACTTTGTATACGCATACTTAGACGACTGCCTCATTGCCAGTCCAGATAAGGAAACTCACCTTAGACACTTGGACTTGGTATTTGAAAGGTTACGCCAACATGGTGTTACCATCAATATACAGAAGTGTCAGATAGGCGTTGACTCACTCGATTTTCTGGGTCACACTATTGACTGTCAGGGCATTCGCTCACTGGCTACTTCGGTCGATCACTCTAAGAAAACGCGTTCTGGACGTCACGTTAGATTCCCAGAATACCTTCACACCTATTTCACATAACTGAGTGACACATCAATTTTTTTAATGTTGCATCATTAAACACAAGTAAATGATATTTTTCCTATAACCGTACATAAAATTAAATTAGATGTATATTTTTTTCCCGATATTTTGAACCTTACATTATTTTACTGTATAGTAGATGCATGTCATATTTTTTTGTAAAAAAACGCTTATTTGGTACATTTTCCTTGACAAGGTTCTCAGCATTCTTGTTTTCTTTTCCAGGTGCAACGGGCACTGGACAGGAAACAAACGAAGCACGGGATCCAACGAACAACATCGAGGAAGCTATGTACAGACACCCTATTAGCATAGGCAGACAGACCAGCAGGCTCTCGATCAAGCCGCTCGGAAGATTTTTTTCACCCATCAGGGAACCATCCAGATTTTTTTACTTCCGGCTGGTCATGTCTTAGGGTACTCACAAACCCACTAGGGGGGGAGTGAGCTGTAGCGGTAAATAATTCCCCAAAATTATTAACCACAGCAATCATCACTCAACATTGGATGCTGACCACCACTGTTTAAGTCGACTTGTTTAGCTGAAGGCTTACGGTACTCGAAGAACGAACACTATAGTGGTTGTTGGTATAAGATCTTGCGTTAGTATAATCCGTACAACTCGCGAACGTCGATACCATCAATCACCTAAAGTTGCACCAACTAATGATGATCAAAATCCTTGAATTCTAGCTTCTTCAAAATGATTATTGCTGCAGCGTCAGAAGAAATGGTTAATGATAATATATTCACTTAATCTGACCCTTAATCCAAACCTGGCATCATCGTCAAAAGCTTGGGAATGTAAGAGTTTTGTAGATACCAGATTTTAATTCAGTTTATTCACAGACACGATATAACTCATGGTCAAAGTCCAGGAGAATGCTTTTTTCCACTGGTAACCTGTAGGAAGTCAACCCATTGTAGGCTTTAGGTCAAAAGCCACCTGGTATTATGTCTGATGCTAGCACTAGTCAAGAGTGTATCCGAAAAACTCATAGTTGGTTAATGTCATTTCTTAGTTAGCCTGGGACTCCAAAACCACGTCATTATATCTCCCAACCGACTTAGCTTCTCCCCTTGAACAGTGAAGTCAATCTATTAGATGACATGCTGACAATATAGACTAATCGCTTAGGTTATAGAGGAATACTTACTGCTGATTGGATACCAAAATCGGATCTTTCTGCTGACAGTTGTGAAATCATCTTAAAGATTATGCTAACACAGTTTTAGAACATACTTTCCCACTTTTTTGTATATGACATGTATTGATCTTAGGACAAACTAGAGAAATACACTTTGCGAACAACTTTAACCGCTAAATCTGCGCTATATATTAAAATAGTGTAGTTGAAACTCTATATGAAGAAATATTGCAAATACAACAACAACAGCGACCTCACTAAGAATAGATCAAGGGGTAAATGGTCAGACATCCTAATTTTACCTACCTTTAGTTGCCACGCAGATAGTATAGTCGTGGAGAATGTTACTTTGTAAATAATCTTAACAGTAATAACAAGAAATATGAAAACAATTGTAGTATGGAGGTGTGATATAGACAATGTGTTCCACAGGAATATTACCCTCACATATTCCCACAGTTCAATACCGCATTGGCAAGAGAATACTATGTACATTCGAATATTCTATTTTATGTTGTTTAATGTAAACCAAATCACACGCTAAGTGACTGGTCAAGGAATATAAAACTCTGTCTCTATATATATATGTATATATATATATAGCGTTTCGATCACTTGGAAATAAACCTTGGTTCCCGTGTCTTGCCTTCTGCTGTTACAGTAAGATTTCCATACGCCTGAAAAGTAGGAAATCGTATTAAATGTACTCTGAAGAGCTAATTTTATTTAACCAGGGAGGGTTAAATATTCTGTAACCTCTATGACACATGAGTGGATAGCTTATCCGGGATCACTTCGTCTATTACTAGTCCGGTCGTTTGCGTACATATAAAATCCTAACCTCGGCTACGCCTATCCAGATACGAAAATGTACTAATTACGATCATTAAGTACTGGAAAGTGCACCGGAGGTTCAAGGGTAGAATATCTACCGTCCGCAATGAGGTAGTCCACGTTCAGTTCTCGTTCGATGCAATCCTAAACCTCACCTAGTATACTACTGGTAAGAAATAAACCCGGAAGAGAGGGAAGGTTGAGTGAGTATGAGGTTAGCAATCATATCCCGTAAAAACAACACAATAAGCATATGAGACTTCGAAGCTTGAAACTCTATATTTCACTTAAGACGCAAAGGGCTTATGGGGAATTGTCACTTGAATTGATAACAACCAGTGGTGTCCGTCAAGGATGTCCACTTTCCCTTTTCTGTTTAACTTCATCATAGATATGCTAATGGAAGTATCCTTAACTGAACTTAACGACCTAGGAATCGACTTGTTACCAGGGAATAGTCTTATGGACTTAGAATATGCAGACGACATAGTCCTGTTAGGGGAGGATGCTGACAAAATGCAGTCTTCTGAACACCTTGAGCAGCAATCTTCGTATGTTTGGCATGCGATTCGCCCCTGTAAAATGTAAGATGCTACTACAGGACTGGACTACGTCAACTCCTAGCTTAGTGATAGGGAGTGAAGTGATAGAACATGTTGACCACTTCACCTATTTGGGAAGTTGTATCAGCACCAACGGATTGATTGGTGACGAAATCTCAGCACGGATCCAAAAAGCTCGGGCTGCTTTCGCTGGCGTAGGCGTGACATCCGACTATCAACCAAGGGACGTGTGTACTGTTCAGCAGTTCGCTCCGTCCTTCTCTATGGCGGTGAGACGTGGCCATTGAGAGCGGAAGACATGAAAAGGTTGACTGTTTTTGACCACAGATGTTTACGATCTCTTTCTCGCGTTAGGTGGTATAATAAGGTAAGTAATGTTGACGTTAGGCGTAGTGTTGGGCAAAGAGGGAAAATCAATCGAAGAGGCTATAAAGTTACATAGATTGAGATGGCTAGGTCACGTGCTGCACATGCCTCCCCCGACGGGCATTACTAGCTGATATAGGTGCAGGTTGGAAAAGAGTAAGTGGTGGCCAAACAAAAACATGGCATCAATCCATGAAATCCTTGACAGTTAAACTGAGTCAGGTAGGGAGATGCAGACTTCCGGGTTGGGGCCCGCCCTCGGGACTCTAAGAATCAATGGCTGGAGACAATAGGTGACATGGCTCAAAATCGTTGTCAATGGCTTACGCAGATGTATTCAGTCTCTTTAACTTTCATATTCCTTTCTACCATTACTCATTCTGTTTCACTCTTATACTTGTCAAAACTCTATTGATTCTCTTCACTCATTTTCTTGTCTACCTTTGTGTGCTCTTCGGAACGTGGCAACTCGAACTGCTGCACTTCGGTGCCAAGTTCTATGTTGAATCCAGCCAGCCAGCTTAAGACGCAAAGGAATCCAAGAAAACAAAAGATGTACTGAGGAGTAAACACTATTTTGATAAAGCAAAACAGCCTCTGTAATGTACCACAAATTCATTAAAATAGAGTTTCTGATTAGTATACATGTACAAATTATCGAATGACATAAAAGTCTACACATTCACATACATACACACAAAGATACAATAATAATATATATATATATATATATATATATATATATATATATATATATATCAAATACATTAAGGAGAATAAGTATTCATTGAATTAATATTCATATATCTGTGCAAGAATAATCCAATATATTGAAGACAATAGGTAGGAATATAAAAAAAACCTTTTTTTAAAACACAAATGCACTGACTGGATTACTGATGAACATATTGTTAGTAGTACTGTTTTGTTTTTCTTTCAATACAAATAAATAACATTGGTGTAAAAAACAGGAAATTATATATTAATCGTAAGAAAATACATACACACACATATACATATATAGGTAGTAGGAGTAATAACAACAATAATGATTACAGAAGGAATACTAGCGCCAATTAGTTACAAGATTATATTATTCGTAATACCGATAAGTTCATTGGTCCTGAAACCAAAAGAAAAAGGGAGGGCGTGTGTGTGTGGGGGGGGGGTGAAAGATAAAGTAAAAAGACAACATTGATATGACAAAAAAAATAAGTACAATGTGGCTGGCGGTGGTTGTGGATGACGAGGGTGGTGTGAGGGAGACAATTAGTAATTAAAAATACTTATAAATAGAAAAATAATGTGTATACGTACATGTGTATATGTGTGTTTGTGTATATATATAAAATCTTATATACTAAGTTGACCAAAAGAATAGACAAAGATATGCAATATGACAAATGAAATTAAGAAATAGGAGACACGTCAACGCCTACGCATACAGGTGCAACGTACACACACACATACAGCTCGCTCATTGGACGTTTAAATAGGTAGATAGATGGACAGATGGATTTCTTAGATTGATAGGTGTAAAAAGGTAAATATATATAGGGAATAAAAAATTCTAGTCAATGTACACGCACACAAATATGTGCAGTGGTGCATCTTACAACACTTGTTTATATACAGATGAAATCACCTTTAAGTAGTTGTTTTTTCTAAAAACAATGGTCAGAAATCAACGGAAAAATAGAAAAAAACCAGGCTGGAAATAAAAAAGGTTAAATATGCATAATTAAAGATAATATAAAAAGAAAGAATTTGATTATTCGACACACTGTTTGTTGTCAATAAACGTCATAGTGATGACAGTAGGGATAAATGTTAGTAATCATATAATTATTTGGTATAGTTTTTTAGTAGAAAAAAACAACGGTTGGAAAAATAGGATAAGTTATGATTAGAATTTCACCGGAAATAGGAAATAGAAAAAAAAACACTGATAAAAAACGGTAATCATAATAAACTATCATTACCATTATTATTACCATTAGTATCATAATGAAATGCAGTAATAATATAGGGCAGGGCAGTAAACCTCACACAAACACGCACACACATGTACAAAACAATAATAATAACCATAATAGTGATGATAATAATAATAATAAATGACCCTGACTTTTGATTTAGAGAAAGGATATATTAAAAAACCAATTTGTGTCTGTATACTTTAAGTGACAAAAAGAAAAAGAAAACTATTGCATCATCATCACTATCGCCAAATCATCAGGTAACGGGAACAATTGAATTTTCGTGATCATTTGAATTTGACAAACAAGAATGATGGTGATGATGAGGATGTGGATGATTATCGTGCAGTGATTTATTCGGTGAATTGACAACTATTGCACATGCAAGCCTAGTTGGATTAATTGGTTTACGACGATTGTGTTGAATTTGTCTCTGTGAACAACTGCTTTCAGATAAGGCGATTGATGTAGGCGTTGATGTTGATGATGTCAACGACTGGACGATTGTTTCATTAGGTTGTCCTTGATGATAAAAAGAAGAATTTGTTGATGATTTATGATTGGTTATTTCATTAGAAGAATAATTCTCATTGTCATCACTTTCATGATTGATATCTGAATCAATTTGACTAGGTGGTGGTGTCTGCAGACAATTATCACGATATTCTTGAATCCAATTGAAAACCTGGATGATAAATTATACAATAAAAAAAGTAAAAAAATTTATAATAAACGCAAAAATATGGATAACTTTACTTTTTTTAAAATAGGTTGTGAAACAAAACGAATTCATGTGTGTGTTGGAGGAGGGTAGGCGGATAGGGGTACCATGTGACGACAAATTGATGTTCAAAAATGAACACTTGAAGTTAATTGAACCTTTGCTAATGATTAATTCCAGGATGATATTGTCTGGAACCCTAGTTGTGACCAACAGAGTCCATCAAGTCAGGTAGGTGGTTGCCCTACCATATCGCAAGTTGACGGAAATTAGAATTCATAGGTTATTAATTAGTTGAATGGTCTACGGGTACGCCTCATGACATAAAGGTTCCCATTGGGGTCATGGGTGCATATTGATGAAGAGTCCCAAACTAGGACGAAACGGCTCTCTAGTACAACCTGGTGATGGTTTTCAATGTCACTTGGTGACCTGACTTGAAATGGAATCGTTTTTTAGTTTACAGATGATTTTCTTTCATATAATTCAGGAAAAATTTGACATTAAACATGTGTAGGTGTGTATAAAAATTACAGGGGATTTTAATTACCATTACGCTTTCTAGACGTAAACTAATTAGTTCTGGAATCACAAATGTAATAGTTTACAAAATGATTTATTGATAAATTCTGTCATGAATGAAAAAAAAATTTGATAAAAGAACTCATGAATGTGACAGATAAATTGCTAGAATGCAATTCTTCAAAAGCATTTTCAAAAGATTCTGTATAAAAATGAAGTGTGTCAGCAATTAAAGTTGCATTTTTTAAAAGTATACTAAGACACATTAATACAACAGGACAAACTTATTATATTAATATTATTCCCTTGGATTCCAAGTGGAACATAGGACTTCAACAACACATCTCCGCTTTGTTCTATTGAGTGCTGTCCTCTTCAGTTGGATCCACGTTTGACCATAATCTCTCATCTCCTTTATGTCACCCTCGCACTGACGACCCACTCGTCGCCACTTCCCATTGGGATTCCACTCGAGCAGTGGCCTGCATTGTGCGTGATGTCATCCGACGGTCTCCTCAACGTATGCCCCATTCATCTCCATTTTCTCCTACATATTTGTTAAGCAATCGGCTCTTGGTTGGTTTCTTCCAAAGCAGAGTTTCTTGTTATTAATTCTTTCTGGCCAGCCTGCCATTTGATCTTCAGTATGGAGCCAGCGAAGGTAGGCAGCTGTTGATAAAAGTCTGCAGCTGTCTGTTGGAAGTCCTTTTCGTGGCACGCAGTGCAAGTTTCTGACTGACCAACTTGACAACCCATTTAGGTGCTGTTATATTTCTCTACATTTAAACCTTAGTGAGGCAGTGGTAGATCTCTTGTCAGCCACGTGGGAGGTCCAGGTTCGATTCCCAGCTAGGACACCACTGAACCTCTCTAGTTGGCTCACTCAAACTAACCAAGACTTCGTGGATTGATTTCAGTTTTCGATTTGACGATGTTTAACTCTCCCCCTCCCAATCTAATCCTACGCTAGCTAACATTGTTTGAAACAGGGAAGGCGATAGCTTGGAAAGCTTAACACGTATTCTAGCCATCTAAATCGATACAACTTCACTACTTTATCGATTGACTTCCCCTCCTTACCTAACAGGATCATGTAAACAAGCCAAACTGTAGACAAGATGAAACATAATTAAAAGAAAATAAATAAATAAATAAAACTAACCGTTTTATAAGGAAGACATAAATCTTGTGCAAGTGATTTCATTGTATCACTAGATAGATTCTCATGACTTTTACAAGCTGATATTAACGCTTTCTTCTGTGATGGAGTAATACTTCTATGGAGTTTACTATTTGAACTTGTTACTCTCGATTTAACATTAATATTACTATTATTATTATTATTATTATTGTTTTTACGAATAGGTGATATAGGCATCTTTGCTTGCCTTGTTCTATTCTGTCGATATGGACTAGAATTTGATGAGGCTAAAAGCATGACAGCTGTTGCAGCTTTGGCTATATCAAATAAACTTTGACGTTCATCTTCATTTAAATCATCTATTGGTGCTTGTGTACTACTATTACTACTACTGTTAGTAGTCTGTTTCGTCTTATTATTATTATTCTTATTTGGTGAAGATATTGTCATTTGTGATGATGATAATGAGTCAATTTTTAATAATTTACTACTTTTATTATTATTATTTTCTTGATTACTAAACGACAACGATGATGATGAGGATGGAGTACGTTTACGAGTTGTTGAAGAGGTAGCAGAGGTGGTAAGAGTAGCAGACGTCTCTGTCGTCGTCATCAGTGTCATCGATGGGCAAGACATCTGCTGATATTGTTGTGGTTTGATATCATTCTCTGAATTGACTCCAAGTACCACCATGTTGTCTGTATCGTCTGTAATCGATGCAAACTGTCCATTACATGAATCTGACGTAGGTAGATTTAACTCATGATTATTATTATTAGTATTTGAAAGTGATTCACTTGAAAGATTCATGGAGTATACTTGATTCAATCTTGAATTATTGCTGTTAGGACGTGTAAAAGCTGTAGACAAGTATAAAACAGAAAAAAAAACCAAGTTAAAATTAAAGAGAATTTTGTTAGGATAAACTAAACATCTTTGTTAACCGTGAAGATATGACTTTTATGCATGCAGTGACATGTTAACCTGATTGGATGATTTTTGATTTGTTAATTTATGGCTTAATTTTCTGAGGTCATATATAACCAATCGGATTTATTTATTGATTTGTGGCTTCAATTTCTGAGGGTTTAGTAAGTACAATGATACTATTTAGTTTGTCTAGTACAGGTTGTTGTCATTCTTCTCAGTCTGACCTTTGTGTCCATCTCTTTGGGTGGAAGATACTTTCAAGTGATCGGTTGGTTATAGTGTATTGTCTGTCTAGTCAAGTTAAGCAACCTCACAACCCAATAATGCTCCATCATAACACATTGATTTTCTTATAACAATAGTACGACAAAATGTGCGTCAGTGATTGAATGGCAGATTGCCCACTAGTTCCATCGAAGGTCTGAGTTCGATTCCGCCCTAGTGGCAAACTCCTAAACTTCACCTAATTTACTAGCCTCGAAAATATGATTCATTCGCCTAAGCACCGAGTTTTCAGTTGGTGGGTCTTGAGTTCGAATCCCGCTCCATCTACATTAGCCTGGGCAACTGGGTACTAACACCAGTTCGTAAACAATGGGTGACTACTCATAGCTTGGAATACTGGAAAGACCTGTTTCGGGAGCTGAGTTCAGATAAACACTTTACTGGCCAAAAATGAATGGGTGTTGGGCGACAGGCCAGAAAAACCAATACCGACTGTACTGAAACTTCAACAGTTTAAAAACCTTATGTTTCCTAAGGAAGGCAAAAGGATCATATGTATACAACAATAGCATGAAGTTATTGATTTTGGGACTTATATATATATATAAATCCAACCTGTAAACCTTTATCCTAAGCATACCTTCTTGTTCTTTCACAAAAACCAATTAATAAAATAGAAGACAGGCGCGAACAGGGAATAAAAAAACCCAGGAATATCGATTTATTGATCAGAAATTAAATCATTGAACTGTTCAGTAGAGAGTTAACATATCATGAGTGAAATATTATCCAACTATTGACTTATTGGTATACGAATAGCGTGTGTAAGGCAAGTCATATGATGAAATAACTTTTTTTCAGATAATGTATATGGGTATTATATTCCACTATATTAGTTAATTGATTATCTGTTAAACAGTATAATATAACTTGGATGAAGTGTGAAACCAGTGTGTGTGTGTGTGTAAATGACCAAGTTAAAAATTAGTTTTAGTTTTTTTCTTGGGATTTTTCTTTATCTTCCAAACTCAATCACCCAGTGGTAAGAGATTTTCCATGTACCAGACTACAAGCCATTACATTTATTGTATGTGAGGACTGGTGATACTCTATTGAGTTACGCAGGCTGAATTGCAGGTGGTGGGGGGGTAGGATTTGAACTAGAAACAGACTGATTGGACAAGCCAAATCCTCAAAATACAACCAAAAATAAAAAGTATATATATATACGTATATTCTCAGTTGATGTTAGATAGTTAGAGGAAATCGGCAGGAAGCTTTGGAACTAGGTTTCGTGTTTATTGGTACTCACCAGTCATCAAGGTGCATCTGCAATCTTGAAGGAACTCAGGTACGAATCTGAGTCACCCAGTGCTGTTGCAGTCAGAGGTGTTACCACTAAGCTATTCGGGCTCATATGAATTTAGTTACTACAACGTAGTGTCCAATCGAGGTGTCCATTACAGTCCATTAGGAGGACAGTGGTAACATCTCCAACCGCAGCACTGGGTGACTCAAGTTCGAATCTCAAGACGGAGATGAGTTTCCTTCAAGATTGCAGATACGCCTTGCTGACTGGTGAGTGCCAACAAGCATGAAACTTACGTCCAAGGCTTCCTGCCGATTACCGAAATTCAGAATGCACCGTGATGGTGAGCCACAGTTCAATCTTGAGTAACACAGTTCAGTTTGCACCAAACGAAGGACTGAACGCGTGACACTAGTTAATATCTAGTGTCCAACCAAAGTATATATATAGGATATACACAGAGTAACATGGACTACGCCTGACGGACACACCACAAACCAGATAAACATCATCTCAGTGCTGCTCAAGGAAGTGGAGACGCATCCTGCTGGATACAAAGTCAAGAAGGGGAGCAGATGTGGGCTCAGACCATCATCTAGTTCAAGGAACCTTCAAGATGAAGTTGAAATCCTTCAGAACAACTGGAGACAGGCCGCAATTCAAGTTCAGTATTCAGAAACTGAAGGACAAAACTACAAGGAATGTTTTCATTACAGATATCAGATCACAGCAAAGTCGGAGACACTACGTGGTATTACTGAGGACACCTGTGTAGAAGAACATTGGAACTCTCTGAAGGCAATATCCAAGCAAACGTGTACAGCCACTTTAGGCAGAAAGCAGAGGCAAGACAAGGAATGGCTCTCAACGGATACCACCTGGAAGCTAATAGAAGAGAGGAGAGGAGGATGGTGAAAGAGAAGATGACTCAATGCAAAGATGAACAACAGAAGGAGAAGCTGAGTTCAATGTACATTGCACTGAATATAGAAGTGAAGAAAAGTGCTAGGAAAGACAAACGACAATTCTACGACACACTGGCAACTGAAACAGAACAGGCAAGCCGCAGGTAAAAGAGACCTAAGAGCATTATATCAGATAACCAGGTATCTATCCGGAAAGAGATCAACCCAGATGATGAAACCAATAAAAGATGTTTAAGGGAACCTAATTATCAAGGAGGAAGAACAAATAAAACAATGGGCTGATCACTTCAAAGGACTCTTGAATCGACCATCATCTGCAATTCGCCCACAAATACCGCCACCACTAACAGCATGCACAGGACTGCCTGCTAGTGGACACCAATCCCTCAACGAAAGCAGAAATCCTGAATGCGATCAAGCTACTAAAGTGCGGGAAGGCAGCAGGGCCGGACGGAATTCCCCCACCCCGAAGCACTGAAAACGGACCCAAAGGTTGCCGCATATGTGCTCACGCCATTATAGCAAAAGGTTTGGAAAGAAGGAAAGGTGTCTACCGATTGGAAGAAAGTCCGGCTACCTTGTCAAACTACCAGGGGAGGGCAACTAAGGCCTCCATCTGCAAGAACTGACTGGCGTGGAATAATGCTGTTGGCCACACCAAGTAAGATACTAAGTCGCGTCATCCTGGAGAAAATAAAGGATGGACTGGAATACAGAACTCTGCCAGCAGGAACAGGCTGGATTCATGAAAGGCAAATCATGTGGTGATCAAATTGCAACTCTACTCATCGTCATCACAGAAAAAAGCATAGGATGGCAGTCAAATCTCACTCCACCTCAACTTCATCGACTTCAAAAATGCCTTCGACAGCATTGACCAAAAAGTAATTTGGAAACTACTTCAACATTACGGCGTGCTGTGCCCAAGTCTTTATCAACCTCGTTCAACAGCTGGCTACATGCCAATGCCACGTGTCAGGTGACCAACAACGGGAAACTCAGTGAGGCGTTCGAAGTGAATACAGAAGTAAGACAGGGCTGTCTATTATCACCGATGATATTCTTAATTGTGGTGGTGGACTGGATTATGTATCAGACTGTGCATGGTAGCGAGGAGTCATGAATACGCTGGACTACCAATAAGAAGACTATAGAAGATCTGGATTTCTCAGATGGTTTATGTTTAATGTCACATAAGCTCGAAGACTTACAGGCGAAAACCAACAAAACTGACTGAAGAAGCAGTCGGAGAAAACAGGACTCCAGGTGAACATAGAGGAGACGGAGGTGATGAAGATAAACAACGAACAGCAACAACAACAACAACGAGCACCAATCACCATCATAGGGAGAGATTTGACAGAGGTTACCTCCTTCACTTATATAGGCATCAGCATCATTTCAACTACAGGCGGTCGGAACGGATGAAGATGTCAAAGCCAGCTAGCCAGAATCGGAAAGGCAAGATACGCCTTCATCAACTTGAAATCGGTTTGGAAATCTGCTGCACTGCACTCAGCTAGCATAAAAAACAAGATTCGGATTTTCAACACAAATGTGAAGTCGGTCAGTCAGTTCTTCTGTACGGGTCAGAAACTTGCACTGCGCGTGAGTCACAAAAAGCGTTTCCAACAGACAGTTGCAGACTTTTATCAACAGCTGCCTACCTTCGCTGGCTCCATACTGAACATCAGATGGTAGGCGAGAAAGAACTAGCAACAGGAAACTCTGGCTGGCAACAAACCAACAAGAGAGAGTTGATCGCCCAACAAATATGTAGTAGAAAATGGAGATGGATCGGGCATACATTGAGTAGGCCATCAAATGACATCGCGCGCAATGCAGGCCATTGCTCGAGTGGAATCCCAATGGGAAGTGGCGACGAGTGGGTCGTCAGTACGAGGGTGACTTGGAGGAGATCATGTGATTTGGAGGACATGAGAGATTATGGTCATACGTGGACCCAGTTGAAGAGTACAGCTTTAAATAGAACAAAGCGGAGATGTGTTGTTGAAGTCGTATGTCCCACTCGGAACTCAAGGGAAAAATAATAATGCCCAATTTTCTGGTGAAATATCAACTATCTATGTTACCGTCTTATTTAGCTAGGCTCAAATAAACAGGATATTTCATTTCCAACTTATCATTCTCTTTACACTTGTTGAAATTTAGGGATTACTGAGAACTGTCTTTGTTTCTATTACGTGCGTCCCGAGTGGAACAAGCTTTTCAAGTTTCAGTACCAGTGGTGTTGTGTTTTTACGAGGTGTGTATAGTTGCTAGCCCCACTCCCAACCTTTCCTCTTTTCTAGGCTTTCTATAGGTTGGTAAACAAGATGCGGGGTTCAGCAGCGTAACGACCGGAGGAATCAAACCAGGACTGTGTGTTGTGCATGGGTCGGCTAGCAGTTCTACCATTCACAGCCACCGACTCCAGAATTGTCTCTTAGTCATTCCATTTCATTATTCATTCAATATTAAAAAGAATTGAGAAAATATATCTTCTCTCTGTCAGGTAAACTAGGTCGTGTGTGTGTGTGTTAAAATAAATCAACAAATAAACAAACAAAACAAAACAAAAAAAGAAAAATGAAACAACTGAAAATATCATGTTATTTTCACGAGAACAATATGTTTACATAAATAAAACATTGAAATGAGAAAAACACACATAAATATATATATGTGGTCAGATGACTTACATTTGATATTTGCCTGAGCAGATTTTAATATCTCCAAATGATCAGGTTCTTGTAACCACAAGTGCAGACGTACATACGGTATTCTTGCCTTATTCGACAGTTGGGACCATGGACGAGTTTTCGATAGAATATCACTGACAGATGCTTGACACATGCCGAGAACAACATCGCCAAACAATCGTTGTGGTATGGAATGACGCTGTAATAGCTGTAATTATTTGCAATAAATATTATGAAATTAAATACAATATTTTGTTTTCGTTCGTTTTAAACCAATTAGACAAAAATTTTTTTATATGACGATGTTTTATTACGGTATATTGAGAACAAGAGATAGATAGCTGTCACCCTGATGTGGTTGTCGGGCTTGAATAGTATCTCAATGACCCAGCGAGCTACACAGACTGAAACCGATGTTCCTGCAGGATTTAACATGCCAGGAAGATCATTTGAATAGATGTTAGAGTAAAGGCAGTTGCCGTCAGTGTAAGTTACTCACGCTATGTTAGGCGTCTGAGTGTCAGGTCGTACAGCTGGTGAATAAGTAAGGCTTTTCTCTCGGAAGACCAGCAAGCTAGTTATGCTAACCCTCAGCTCTGAAGAGTAGGGTGGATTAGAAAACGTCGAAAACTGGACATCCCGACTTATTTTGCGGTGTTAAGATCTGTCTATATATGCGGACATAACTCCCAAAATGCACTCCGACCAGGTCATGTGTGACCTGAGCTCTGTGGTCATGCAACACTAAACACCACCCACACACTTCAATAAGTGCACATACGTTTACTAATCATCAGTAACTTTTAGTCGGTTTAGTTTTTCAAATGTTTGAGTTGGATCATAGCTATTCACTATTTAGTGATAAGGATGAGAATTATACACTCATAAACACTGTAAGACCACGTACATTTATACGTCTGAGCAAACTGGTAGGTAAGGTTGTTGAAAGTTTAATGCAGTTGGACCATATAACATAAGATTCGTGGAGAAAGCAAGCGATTACTCACCAAAACTCCATCAATATTCATAAGATATTAAAAGGATCAATAACTGGGAAAATCGATTTGATATGAATACTTCAAGTTTGTTCAAGAATTAACATCAGTTAGAGAACCATTGAAAATCAGGGGGTACTGGACAGCAGATAGTAGTAGCTGTTTTCATTGATATATACACTGGTGACTCATCAATATTGATTTTTCGCACCTGCATGATTGAATTTACTGAATTTCCATTGATTGTTAATATATTTTTTTAATGTGACATTGATTTTCCTAACTGTATAAATACGGAGTTTTGTTTAACATTTTCGACTGTTGTAGAGACAGTAAAAGCTCTCGTATCAACGTCCAGTCTTCTTTCTTTGTCTTGCGTGACCGGCGGTATTGTTGTTGTTGACGTGCGATTAGGACAGATTAGCCAGCGCATTAAGTTAGATTCGCTCGTAGTCTACAAGGTCATAATATTCATACACAACATTCATCTGCTATAACTAAGTTCGTCTTAGTTTGGGATTCTTCAGAAGTACGCGCCCATGATACTAACAGCGATCGAACCCAGGACTGTCAGGTTACAACGCAAGCACACTGACCTTTCAGTTACTTGAAGCGGAATTTGATGACTCGTGAATACTAATTTTATCAGTTTGTGATTTTAAGCCGCACGACCAGCCACTCTTATCGACGAGTATTTGTTCTAACATCCCAACCTAGTGGACCTCATCAGTCATGACTTTACGCCAGAACTTTAGGCAATTTCGCCCTGTAGTTATTCATTAGTGGGTATTAGATTAATCTGTAAGGATTTGACTGGTTTCACGTTTGACCACAGAGTGACATCGGTTAAAAAAACCAAGTAGTATTGGAGGGGTTTTGTCTTAGTTTGAGGCTCTTCAGCTGTACACACCATGACCCCATCCGGCAGAGAACGCATGATCTTAGTTAGTCCTCTAACTGAAGTTAATCCATGACCAAAACTTGAAACCAAGCAAATCCTTACAAATTAATCTAATAGCCAATATAACTACTGACAATGTAACATCCATTTTCTTAGATAGACTATAAAAAAAAAGTATTTCTAAACAAAATAATCATCTCAAAACTGTTCACAATAATTTATGGAAAGCTAAAGAATATTTATATGTCAGATAGGTGTTTTCAGTGTTTTAAGTATCCAAATTGAAGTTAGCGCCAAAGAGATGATGATGATGATGATCTAGAAAAGGAATCAAACTTCCTCAATTAAACCATCCAACTCACACAATACAACAACACACCAAGAACTGTTCCACACAATCAGTAGCAGATATCATGATATGAACAGCAGTAGTTGTTGTTGTTGCTGTTCTCATCTTTTCTAACTAAGTTTATCAGTGGAGCATTTGGAATGTATCGTTTTATAAAATCATAAATCCATGCCATTACAGCTTGCGTTCCAAATGGAACACGGGATTCGAAGCTTTGAGGTGGTGTTGTTTCTTTTATAGGATGTAGGTACTAGCCTCAAACTAAAGGGTGTGTATGCTGCTCAGGAGTCCGCTCCGTCCTCCTTTATGGCTGTGAGACTTGGCCATTGAGAGTGGAAGACATAAAAAGGCCGGCTAGCTGTCTTTGATCATAGGTGCCTGCGTTCTATCTCCCGTGTGAAGTGGTATAATAGGGTGAGCAGTATTGAGGTTAGGCATCGGTCGACTGCGAGGTAAGGAGGGGAAATCAATAGACAAGACTGTGAAGTTCCATCGATTGAGATGTTTAGGACGTGTGTTACGCACGTATGCCCAGGCATTGCCTTCCTCAACAATGGGCAATGTTACCTGATATAAGGTCAGGCTGGAAAAGAGCCAGTGGTGGTCAAACCAAAACATCGCTTCATCAGTCAATGAAATTCACAACAGTTAGTTTAAGCCACGTAGGAAGATGTATACTTCCCAGCTGGGGTCCTCGGGTCGGTAAACACCAATGAAAGCTGGAGACAATTGGTGATATGGCTAGCTCAAAATCGTTCTCAATGGCTCAAGCAGATGCATCCACTCCTTGTGACTTATAATACCCAATAAAACTATATTGTTCTTCGATATTACTATTCTTTATGCCTCATATCTCTGTTTTGAATCTGTCTTTACTCTCTTCTGTTGCTTTGTGTGCGTGCTACATGGAGTGTGGCAACTCAAACTGCTGCACATCTGTGCAAAGCAGTTCTATTTTGAAACCAGTCAGTCAGTCAGTCAGCCTCAAACCCAACCCTCCCCCGCTTTTCCTGGATTTTACTACCTACCGGCTAATAAACAAGGCGAAGTTTATGAGTGCACACTCGTTGGAGAAATCAAATCCAGACCACTTGGGTGAATACTACTACTATTACTACTGGCGGACATTCCTTCCATTGAACCATTGAAGCACATTAATCATAACATATTAGATTATGTTTACATCATTGAGAATAATAAAAAATAATAATCGATATATGTCTACCCTTACCTCTTTTATCTTACTACACATAGCTGTTGTATCCATATCTTGGATAGATGTTGCCAATTCCATTACTTCTTTTGATGAAGGTCTTTGATAGGAATTATTATTACCACAATAATTATTACTGCTATTACTATTATTATTATTATTGCTATTGTCATTGTTAATTATTGTTGTCATCAGCATATTGTCATTTTCATTGAAATGATCATTTTGTATAGAATTTGGTGTAGGTGAACCAGATGGACTTGTAATTGGTTCAAATATGGCACAATTTAAAGATTGTCCATTAGGATAATATTGTGTATCATCATATAATTCTGTTGTTTGATCGGTAGATTGCTGCTGCTGTTGTTGGGCATGAATATTTGTATTAACTTCTAATTCAGATTGATTTGATAACATATTTACATTATGATATGTACCTGTAAATAAAGAAAAAGAGAAAAGAAATGGAATAAACAGTTTGAAACTAATTTCATTGAGAATCAACATACACCAACACACAGAATCATTGAAAACTATAAAAGGCACTATAGGGGCAAATGTTCTATCTCAGTTTGAGGCACTTAAGACGGGGCATACCAACAAACCCATTAAGGATTGAATCCTGAACCTTCGCTCCGTCCTTCTCTATGGCTCTGAAACATGGCCAATACGAGTTGAAGACATGATATGGTTAACTGTTTTTGATCATAGATGTCTACGATCTCTTTCTCACGTTAGGTGGTAAATAAGGTAAGTAATGTTGACGTTAGGCGTAGAGTGTTGGGCAAAGAGGGAAAATCAATCGAAGAGGCTATAAAGTTACATAAATTGAGATGGCTAGGTCACGTGCTGCGCATGCCTAACCATCGCCTCCCCCACCCGACGGGCATTACTAGCTGATATAGGTGCAGGTTGGAAAAGAGTAAGTGGTGGTCAAACAAAAACATGGCCTCATCAATCCATGAAATCCTTGACAGTTAAACTGAGTCAGGTAGGGAGATGCAGACTTCCGGGTTGGGGCCCTCGGGACTCTAAGAATCAATGGCTGGAGACACTAGGTGACATGGCTCAAAATCGTTGTCAATGGCTTACGCAGATGTATTCAGTCTCTGTAATCTTTCATATTCCTTTCTACCATTACTCATTCTGTTTCACTCTTATACTTGTCAAAACTCTATTGATTCTCTTCACTCATTCTCTTGTCTACCTTTGTGTGCTATTTGGAACGTGGCAACTCGAACTGGTGCACTTCGGTGCCAAGTTCTATGTTGAATCCAGCCAGCTAGCCAGGAGAGCTCTGTGTACACATGGAAGTATGTGGGCAGTTACTACTACTTTTTGGTTAACAATGCCATGAAATTCGATTTCTTCCTGGAATATTTGAAATAGAAAGAGACTTAGTGTTGCCTGAGAGTAGAGGTAAGACGACAACTGCTTGTTGACGACCACACACACAACATACATACACACAAGGAACTAATTATCAACGTTGTTGAGTAATTTCCGTACTCCACTAAGAACTCTAGTTGAAGTCAGAAAGTGTGAGTCATTAAATTTCAACCGAGTAGTTGATGAAGACATCTAAAGTGTTTGCATTTAACTGTATACGGAAAATTAGCTAAGCATAACTGATGAGCCCCAAATTAGGACAAAAGTTCCTTATCACATAGAGTTCAACGAGAAATAAGTAGACATCTTATTCAAAAGACGAATTATTAAAAATCAACGTTATTACTTGCAGCATGTTAACAGTAATCTAATATTGTAATAAAATGAACACATTTTTCATGAATGACGAATAACATAAAGAAATTGTTCGCAGAAGAAATACTTTCTTTCATCAACTTCATTTTAGGGCTGTACAGTCGTATTCATGATACGGTAAAAAGCAATAAGTGACACTAAAGTTTAGTCATGAATTTTTATGGTGGAGAGTTGAGGGGGGTGGTAGAATGCTTGCCGACCACACGAAAAGTTCAGGTTCGACTCCTACTCTTAAACCTTACCCAGCCAGTAGTTAGATTCGTGAGATAGGGCAGGTTGTAGTGTGAGGCTAGCAACCGCATCCAATAAAAAGAACACAATACCACCGGTACTGAAACTTCGAAAGCTTGAAGTCCTATAATTTACTCAGAATACGAAAAATGAAGAGTTTAAGTATGGATAAATTACAGAACTACAAAAGATTATTAAAGAAGTGAATTGGTATTATCAGGTTTAAAAAGAGTCAAGTGGTATCAAAAATTAAAATCATTACGTTGGTGAAGTGATATTAATAATAATAATAATAAAAAGCGATGAAAAAGTGAAGTGGAGTAGAATTAGTTCAAAGGAACATTACCTATGACCACCGTAAAGCAATTTCAGATTAAGTTTACCTACATTTCTACATAGGTGATGAAAACATAAACTTTTAGAGTAACTGAATGGATTGACTGAAGAAGGTGTACACAAGTAGAACACTTCGCCATCTTATGTTTACCTTTTATCAAGTAAACTGTTTCCAAAGAACTACTCGCTTACAGCGTCCAATATAACCAGTTCCATAGAAGCGTGTGGAACAGTAGGTGTACATAGAGATGAAGAAAAGAGGTAGTATTTATCCTTTAAGCATAATCCAGCTCAAGAATACCATGTATAAGTCAGATTATATCCCACACCAAGTGTATCTACTTTTTCAAACGCTCCTGTAGAGCTGATGATTTCGAACTTTGCAAAGCAGTTCTCTAGGTACGCATAGCTGAAAACCACTTAATTAAAACCTAACGATTTCACTACTAAGTTACGTGGAAATTCACGCTTAACAATGAACACGAGTTGCTGATGAGATCTGGAAGAGGGTGAAACATTTGTCTACTGATTTAAATTTTTCAACAGACCTTCAGCATATCGACTTAGGTGTATGTGTTCATGTGGATGATAGGGGGGGCGGAGGGAGGAGGAATCACTTATCAAACACTTGGAATTCAAAAAAGAAAATAATCTACTTAAGGATTTAACCATGAATTTAAAATTAATTTTTTTTAAACATTGATTGATATACTATTCTGCAAATTATCATGTAATGAATGAATTACCATTAATATAATCCAACGGAAAAGTATAACGTTCTTGATCCAGTAAAGGTTCAGGCGATAGACTAGAATTCGATCTAACATATGTACTGCTACTGATACTACCACCGGCAGTAGTTGATTCAAATATTGATAATATTGGTGCATTTGGAGATAATTTTGGCATAGTAGGAATAACAGCGGCAGTAGTAGTAGTAGCTGTTGCTGTTGTTGTTGTCATTGTAGATGACTGTGAGGAGACAGCAGCTTTTATAATCAAGGAGAAAAAAAAGGAAGAAAAAGAAAAAATTAAATTACTGAATAAGAATCTAATTTGATAATTTGATCATTATATAAAGAGAAAGTGTATCCGGGAATCATTAAATCGACAACAAGTTCTTCTTATGTGGTGGGTGATACAGTCTTCAGCACAATATTAACTATTAAGTGAACAATGGCAGATGTAAAAAACTATTCACTTTCACAGTGAATGAAACAGTCAACTAAAATGCATAATAGAGGGGGGTGGGGTGGGGTTAAACTGAACAGAACTCCAGCCTATGTTGTGTCCATGAGTCAGACACAAGGAAGTTGTTCTTGTGTCCCAAGTGGTCTAGTGGCGTTTGAAACGATGGCAACACCGTCACTCACTGGAGGATTAAAGGTACATCCAACTAACAAGTCTCAAATAGATCGAAATGGGCATCCTGAACTTCACGGCTAGTCAGTCACCATCCACCAAGCAGAGTATGCAACACAATCAACACGTCCCTATATCAGTAGTAGTGGAGGAGGAAGGTTGACGGATGGATGTGTTGTCTGCAATGTATACTACAGTGTTCAACACGTTAAAACATTCAAATAAAATTGTAATATATCTTTTTCAGTTATCTATCTAACTATAGAGAGAAATATAAAAAAAGTATGCATTAAACGAATTTAGAAAATAATAATAATAATAAAAAATTTCTATTTTTTGATCATTGTTATTGATTGTTTTTTATTGATAAAAAGTTTCCCTTATATATACTTATTATATATCCATCCGTCTATCTTATGTATCTATCTACCCATCTGTTTAACAGTTACATTTGTCAATTATAAATGAAGGAAGAGGCAATAATCAATAATAGGAGAGTGGGATAGAGACAGAGAGAGAGAGAGATATTAGTAAAAATCAATAAAGAAAGAAACAAGACAATAATAATATAAAGAAGAAAAACATACAAAACTTCTATTAAGATTCTATAGTCAATAACACTATATATATATGCATAGAGAAATAAATGACTTCCTTCACCTGACGGTCTGAGACTGGATTGATAACCAGTGTTATACAGAGACAAACTCGTACATTTATTTTATAGTATAATGTACTAATCGATGATATTCTTGTCGACTTTAGCGACGCAGGGATTAGCTTTTAAACCAGACAGTAGTCTCGTCAATGCAGGGTATGCAGACGATATGATGTTTTCTAGGTGAAGACGCAGATAAAATACAGGGTCTTCTGAACACCTTGAGCAAAAGCTTCCGGATGTTTCGCCAACGGTTCGCTTCAGTCAAATGTGAGAATATGTTACAAGATTGGTCTGCATCCGCTCTCACTTTTATGATAGGAAGTAAAATAGTCGAGGGTGTTGACCACTCCGCTTATTTGGAAAGTTGCATCAGCTCTAATGGACTGATTGCTGAAGAATTGTCGGCACGGTTATGAAAGGTTAGTGTGGCATTTGCGAATTTACGAGATTTCTGGCGTAGACATGATATTCGGTTATCGATTAAAGGACATGTGTACTGTGCAACTATTCACTGTATTCTTCTTTATGACTGAGACATCACCATCAAAAGTGAAAGACACGAAGAGACTCTACGTCTTTCACCACAGATGTTTGCATTCTACCTCCCATATTAAGTGGTATAATATAGTGGATAATATTGAGACTAGGCGTAGTGCCAAGTAAGGAGGGAAGGCCAATCAATGAATTTGTGAAGCTGCACCCATTGAGAGAGCTAGGACACGGTCCACGCATAGCGAGCCGTAGCCTCCCTCGTCAAACAAGGTTAGCTGACGTGAGATTAGGTTGGGAAAGATTTACGGGAGATTGTTTGAGCCCAGTATACTATCAAAATGGGGTCTTCAAACACTATGAAAACAGAAGACTGTTAATGACTCAGCTCAAAATCGTTCTCAATGGGATTGAATTCTCATTATTCCCATATATACCTATTCCTCTTCCCGTAAATTTCAGTTGATTAAGGTTCCTTTGAGTACTATATGAAGTGTGGCAATTTGAACTGTTGTACTTCAGTACTAACTCACTCAGTCAGTCAGTGAATATTTGATGGTAAAGTTTACCAAATGACGTTAGGTGACAACGTGAAAAAAGTAAAAGTACTGACAAAGCTATCCAGTCTGTTGGCGCAACGTACACAAGACTGTTGTTAATGTTATCTCTACTATTGCATACTCAATCTTATGTTCAATTAAATACAACTCAGAAAAACTTACACGACTGTAACAGTTTTATGACACTATCAGGATCATTTAAAAATAATTGCATTCTTATATATGGTTCACGACCTTTTAGTGTCAACGATTTCCACGGTTTTGGTCGAGCTAACAAATCAGAAACACTTCCCTGAGATAAACCTGCCAAAATTGAAAGAAGAAAACAAAAACTCAGTAACAATAATGAGATATGAAGGTATGCACCTGTATTCATCTGCGTGTCGTCATAAATGAAGAAATACACAAGGATTGATAGATGACTTTAATACAGTACAGTAGATAAGATTCTACAAGGATCAATCTAATTGGTTGAAATCTAGCCAATCGGCTTGCAGAGAGTTGTTTATATAGGCCGAACAGATGTATATTTATGTAGTGGGTGTTATGACCGGAACCATGACGTAGTAGACTCTGAGCGAATGTTAACTTTAATGCGCTGGCTTATCTGTCCTAATCGCACGACAACAACAGCAATAATAATAATAATACCACCGGGCGGCAAAGACAGAGGAAATGACTGGACTTTGATGAGAGAGCTTTTTACTGTCTCAAAACAGCAGTCAAATAAAAGGTCGGCATATATGTTTAAAATGACCTTGAGAATCACTGATGCCATTGATAAACTAAGACAGTGAACAACCAATAGGATCTCAAAGGTCATAAGTAGCGTGAGAGAAAATCTGGTCATAAATCAATAAGTGTGGTGAGAGAAATACAAACATACATGTAAAATTACGTCTGTATATATCAGTGGGTGATGATTAGGGGAGGAGGGGAAAATTGGGGTCGTGGTAGGATTCGAACCCATGGCCTCCGAATTACTAGTCCAGGGAGCAATGACAGTCTGTTAACTCAAGATCAACTCAAACGATATCACCAGCAGATAATTACTTCTCCTTGTTAAATGGTTGGAAGCAATCGGCAGAAAGTCTTGCACCTAGGTGCTCATCAGTCAGTAAGATGTATCTACAAACTTGAGGGAACTTAAGTCCCTTCTGAGATTCGAACCCAGCGCTGCAGTCAGAGACTCTACCACTGAGCCATTCAGACTCACGGTTGTCCTCCTGTAGGTGCTTTGATCAGACACTAGTTAGTACATTGAGTTGGCATAGAAATCAAGTAAAAATGAAGCTGTGAAATGATTGATAACGATCAAAGGAATAGCTATCTTATTTGCCTTGATCGGGGCAAGTAGACAATGATTGAGAAAAGAGGAAAAGGTAATAATACAAGTAACAGCATAAACAGGAATTTTTAAAAACAAGGTGAGAAAGTACAAGATGAAACAAGAAAAAAAGACTCAAAAAAGCAAGGTAATAATACATTTCCTAGAAAATATACAACAACTCCGTAGAAGAATCTTTTCAAACTTTTAGATCAGGAAGTATATTTATCTAGCAGGATCATACAAACGATCTCTCGTACAAGACTGTATTTACACAAGAAATAAAGGGACTGAATAAAGAATCATCCAGCTCTGTCGATATTAAGTCTTCTTATCTAGTAAAATGCAATCATCAGTTTTAGTGCACCTGTTATTATTATTATTTCATTTTATTCCTTTACTTTCCCAGTGGAACACAGGGGTTCAAGCTAGGGCTTTGAAGTTTCGGTGGCAGTGTCTATTTTTACGGGACGGGCTTGCCAGCCTCATGCCCAATCTTCCCTCTTTACCAGTCTCATTACTGGCTTGGCGAGGTAAAGGAGTGTGTCGGCCGGGGATCGAACCCTGAACCACGTACCTGGCTGGCGAGCATTCTACCACTGCGCCACCGACACCCTAGTTCACCTGTAGTCACAACATTTGAAGATGACGTAAACATTGTGTTCAGCAAACTTAACAGTATTAAATGTGAATTTTCGCAAATTAAAAATTGAACAGAAGAACGTGACTGTCTTCTATAGACTGAATTTGGAAATAGTAATCGAAATTTATGGCTGAGATGGATCATTTTGGTGTGGTTGCTTCCTCTGACCAGCTTTCATTATCCTTCCTTTTAGACATCTTCAGCTCAAACTTCATTGTGAGGTAATCTTATTTCAATTCTATATGAGTGATGTAATTATATCTTCTGATAACCTTTGCCGTGCGTCACTGGTTGTCAGTCTGCATCAGTATGAATCGTTTTTAATGACTTGTAATTTGACTTTTTTGTCATGTGACTTAATCCTTATTAACTGATAATTTTGAGCCATAGCAGTAGTATATGTTACTCACTGATTTGTCTGAGAACCCGGCTACTATGAATATCCTGGCATTTCTGCTATTTAATATCTTTACATTTTTCCAGTCTCGCTAGTGTCCATAGTTGTCTACAAGCATCAACATGAAAAAAACACATGTCATATCTTTTGACAGCTAGTTTATGTTCAGAAACACTTATGGTAAGATGAATTTTTTCTCGTGGTTTCTGAAGATAGTTTCTTGCCGATAGTTTGATTCGAATTCAGACATTTTTTGATGAACTTGTAAGGGTATCTGTTTTACTCAAAAACAGTTAAATTTAATGTTTCTCTACTATTCTCTTCAGGACTGGAATGCCACACCACAGTGTGCTTTAACTCTTACGACTAATCTTTGTACATATTTTCGTTTTTGTTGTTCAGTAATAACTGTTGTAGTTGAGTGTTTCTAGGTTTTTTCTGTATTTGTTCTCTTGACTAAGACATTTGAGAAAGGAATTTGGTTGTCTCATTCTTCTTATAATTATTATTCTCGGTGTCAGGAGATACAATTATGTCATTCATGGAGACTTCAAATAATACACTTCATGTTGAAGTTTGCACTAAAGATGTATTCTCTAGGAAGGCAATGAAGGCTTCACAATGAAACCATCCACCTCAGAGAACGCACTCGTGTCACATTTGTGGGTTAATTGGATGTTTTTTTGATTGGACACTAGTCAGTAACTAGTGTAATGTGTCTAGTCCTATCTTCGGTGCAGACTGAATTCTATCAGTCAAGTTTGCAATATGGCCACCATCCTAGGTGTCTCTCCATCACTGTGCACTGTGAATTGTCGGTATTATATGGTTGGAGGCAATCGGCAGGAAGCCTTGGACCTAGGTTTCGTGCTAGTTGGCACTCATCAGCAAGGGGTACCTGCAACCTCGAAGGAACTCATTTCATAGTGCACCGTGATGGCGAGACACCTAGCATGGTGGCCACATTGCAAGCTTGACTGATAGAATTCAGTCTGCACCGAAGATAGGACTAGACACATTACACTAGTTACTGACTAGTGTGCAATCAAAAATATCCAATGCAGTCCTACAGGAGGTCAATCGCGAGCCAGCCCGAATAGCTCAGTGGTAACGTCTCTGACTGCAGTACTCACTGGGTGATGCGGGTTCCAATCTCAGAAGGGACATGAGTTCCTTCGAGGTTGCAGATACGCCTTGCTGACTTGTGAGTGCCAACCAGCACGAAATCTAGATCGAAGGCTTCCTGACGATCGCCTCCAAACGTATAATACCAACAATTAATTGGATATTCTTGGTATGATTGTAGCGTCTTTGTTGATTAGTTTAATTGCAAAGGTTTCATTGTCCATCTAGGATAACATCTTCAACGCCAACTGACAACAACAGCCTTAAGAAAACAAATACTGAAATTCAAATAACTTTCTCTTTCTTTATTCTTTTGCGTTCTGAATGGGGCATTGAGCTTCAAGATTGAGCTTTGAAATTTCAGTACCGAGTAATTTTTTTTAAAGCATGGGGTGATGAAGGCACAGTACTTTATGTGCTTTTGGAAGTGTGCGGGTGATTGTTACTTCCAATCTGCGCACACTATGGAAGTCATTTTTTTTCTGAAACAGAATAAGCATTAAGTTGTGTGACCACAGAGCTAAAGCGATAACTGCTTGAGATCGGTCACAAATGGCTACGTACCACCGTAAGTTAATTCGAGATGTACACTTTCCGGGCTCCCCTCTACAGAAAGGAAAGGTAGTAAATCTGGCCTAGTAGTCGTCCGAGGTAAATACTACTGTTACATCCTTACTTCACTCTCAAACCCTGAACTATGGTAACTGACTTACACTTTGATGGTAACCGCTATCTAAACGATCTATCTTTCCCGGTAAGACCTGCAGGAACACTAGTTCCAGTCAGTGTAGATTATTGGATCATTGTGATTTTCAATCCAGACCACCACGTTAAAGTAGCAGCTATCGGTCGAGTAGGGATGAAGTTAGTAGCCTCAAATTCAACCTTTCATCCCTACTGAGTTTACTACCGGTTAAAAGAGGTTTAGCAGTCCATCAGCAAGGAATCGAACACTGACGCCATGCGTTAGTGTTGGCGAGCATTCCATCATTGAACCATGGGAGCTCAAACAATTTGGCACCGTTATTATTACTATTATTATTATTAGGATTAACAGAAGTGTTTGTTTAAATAAATAAATAAGTAAAGACTTTATAACTTACCAAGTACATGTGCACCAAAAAGTTTTTGACTAATAGAATATTGCATAAGAAGTGAACGTGTACGCTGAGTTATCTCTTCTGTAGATAGTTCACAATACTTATCAATATCTTCTTGTTTCAATGGTGGAAGAGTTGAAACTCTATGAGATGATGATGATAATGATGACGATAAACTACAGTTGTTATTATTATTACTATTATTATTATTATTAGTATTACTAATTGAATCAGAAAGATTATCCTCAGTTTCATGATAAATGGTATTATTTGAATAATTGAAATGATTCTCATTAACAGGATCTAACTTAGACAAGATATCTGATGATTGAAGGTGAACTCCAGTAGCTGTTGCCGCTGAAGCTAAAAGCATCAGAGTTTGTTGAAATGACATTGGTGATGATGTGGATGAAGAAGATATTTGTGGAAAGGTTGACATTGATGCAGGAGATATACCTAACGGTGGAATAATAGGCGGTGCCGGTGGTGGAGGTTGAGGCGGATGATGAGGTTGGTGATGATTCATACTGATAACTGTTGATGCAGTTGACAATTCATTGGCTACAGTATATATCGGGTTACAATAGCTAGGATCATTCAGATTAAGTCTGATAGGATTATCTTCCATAGATGATGAATAATTAGGCAATAATAGAATACTACTACTATTATGATTATTGTTGAATAAAATATTTCCATTATTTTCCATTCTGTTTAAATCATTCATATTTTCAGTTGATGATTGTGTTTCTGTAAGATGAGAGAAATTCTGTTGGTTAACACCTGAGGCTAATTTGATGACTGAATTGTCTGGATTGATGATTGAATTATTAGTGATTTGAGCAGTGAATAGTTTGAGCTAAAAAACAATAAAGTAAAAAAACACATCAACAAATGATGCTATAAAGAAATACTTCAATGGAGTGGTTCATATATATATACAAGTTGATCGCGGATTCGATATCAGTTAGAGAACCATTGAAAACAAGCAGGGAGTACTGGACAGCTGTTTCATCCTAGTTTGGGAATCATTGACAGTACGCATCCACCACATGGGATTCGAACCCAGGACCTTCCGATTACAAGGCAAGTTAGCTCGTATACAATTCAGTCACCGGAACCCGATGCAGTTGCCAGTCCATGAATTCTAACTTCTACCAATTCGTGATTTAGCGCGACTGGCACCAACCAATGTCATCGGTGGGACATCCATCCTCACACTTGACTGGATGGACCTCATTGGTCACAACTTCTCACTAGAACTCCAGGGAATTCTGTCCTGTAGCAAGTTACTAGCGAGCATCAGATTAATTTTAACTCGTAAAAACAAAACTAATCCTTACAAACCAGCTATAGAACAAAAATATATGTATATATAAGACTTGACACCTATAACATGACACTGATTCACTAATAGATAGTAACTAGTGTTATACTGTCAGGTCCTTAAAGCCAACTCAGTTATCCAGAGTATGGAAGAGTCACATGTGATGTGACAATTGAGAAGATATAAGTCAGCGAAGATGTCGCTTTTCGTAACATTTCATCGAAGGTGTACAGCTATTTAGGGATTTGTATTTTTAATGTTAATTATCAATAAGCGTCACAAGCAAATATCAGACAACTTTAAAATTAAGACTGTGTCAGAAGGTAAGTTATCCTCCGCCTTTGAAACAAATAAATCGATTTCCATACAGATCAATTTACCACAAGTCAAGATGGAATGAACAGCTGACAAACTTTTACAGTTTTATCCCAATAACCACAGAAATAAATCTCATCACTTATCTTCCTTATGAGAATCTACCGTGCTTACATACTGAACGTGCATTGAGCAAGAAATTGGAAACCTTCAGGAACACTCGAATTAATGATGGATATCAACTTATTTTAACGACAAACATTTAAAAAATATCAATCCCCCGTGAAACCTGGATATACTGGACATTAGTAAAGTCTTACCACGCCAGCTACTAAGAGCAATTCAAAAATAGTATTCTTTGCTTCATCTCTACACTTCAACTTGGCTACTACTGCTCTTGTTCAAAGACAATATTTCACGATGCATTTGTGAATTGACTTGCTCCTGTGGAGTCAATTACACAGGCTGCGCCAGAAGGATTTTGTCCGGACGTATTTATGGTTATCACAGGGAGAATGTACAACAGTCAAAAGCCTAATTATCGCCTCTAATCATGCAGCATCAGTGGAGACTTCATTTAGCACCGCATGAAAGGTATAATCGAGTTAGTTAATAGGATTTCGATCAAACCCTCTTTAGGCAGGTGAAACACTCGTCACTCGAACTTAGCGTTCACAGACGTTTGATCCAGCCTCTTCTACTACGACCATTTCAGTCTTAATTTTCCGTTCTTCACCTGGCTGGAAAAGAGCTAGCGGCGGTCAAACGAAAACATGGCACCAGTCAATGAAATCTACAACAGTTAGTCTAAGCCACGTAGGAAGGTGTAGACTTCCTGGTTGGGGTCCTCGGGACGGTAAAAACCAATGGTTGGAAACAATTGGTGACATGGCTCAAAATCGTTCTCAATGGCGCAGATGCATCCACTCCTTGTGACTTATGATTTCCAATGAAACTGTTTTGTTCTTCGTTATTACTATTCCTTTGTCTCACACCTCTGTTTACTGTCTATAATATGCATTTCTTCTACTTTCTTCTCTTGCTTTGTGTGCTACATGGAGTGTGGCGACTTGAACTGCCGCACATATGTGCAAAGTTCTATGTCAAAACCGACCGATCTTCACCTGTTAAATAGTGATTCATTCTCAATTCTTTTTCCCATGCTTCCTATTCACCACTTAACTAATTAATTGTCAACTTTCTCGATTACATAAGATTATTCACGTTTTTTACACATTGTTATTTCTTATAAACTTTGATTTATTTTTTCGTACTAACTCGGAATAACCTCTGACCTATATTGGCAATTAATGTAGTACATATATACTCCCAAAAAACTGTACAGCTTTTGAAGAGTAGTAATGTAAACAGACTTCCTAACTAAATTGTATCGATTACCAATGCGAGATACTTTGACATTGAAATAATAGAGAATGTTTGTAGCTCAGGTGGTGATGTGGTGTTCTCTGGGCTGATTGGTTTAATTGAGGGACTTTCTTCGTCCTTCTAGACAACATCCCACTTCAGAGCAAGTTTTAGAATAAAATGAACTGATTTAAATTCTCCATGAATAATAGAACTGGCCATCGAGAGATTCAACAGAAAAAGAATATAAAATTAATACTATTTACAAAATAAATAGTATGAACTGAAACAGACATTACATCGGTTAAAGTGGGAGTCCCCTTCGACTCCGAATACAAGAACACAAATTAGCTGTAAAAAGCCATGATATATATTCTTTCATATCAATGCATATAGATAATTATGGACATCAATTTTATTGGGATAATGTCGAAATTTTAGACAGAGAAAACACCAAAAGTGGCAGAGAATTTCTAGAAGCCTGGTACTTGAGCGAATCAGCGATTAACAAACACATTAATATAGACCAAATCTACCAACTGATAAAACGTAAATCATTTGACGAGAAAGTTCAAAATCCAAGTCTATAAAAAATGATCAGTACAGATGTAAATTGACTACCAGTCACGAAGATGGTTGCCAGGAGACACAATTCTATCATTCATGGAGAATTTAAATCAGTTCATTTTATGCTAAAACTTGCGCTGAAGGAATGTTGTCCAGAAGGACGACGAAAGCTCCACAAATAAACTATTCAGCTCAGAGAAGACACCTAATTGCAAATATTTTGACATTTCCAACTGCAGAACTGAATGACACCTGTCCGAACCACCGGAGGGATATTGGTTCCATTAAGGTTGCATTTACATTTCTCTTAAGATTATCAATGAGGACGAAACCTAGAATCTAGGATTTTTCTGTCAAATACCAACAGCCATTCAACGATGCTACTTCAAATTTCCAATCTTTAACAGCGATATTATACATTGATAAAAGAAGTTAGCCAGACAGGTTATTCCCTAAAAAACGATTTTCATACAATTTATTCATCAAATCATAGACGAAAATGACATTATTGCTTTACAAATATAACACCATCAGTGTAAACACGACAGATATCAGACACTGTAGGATATTATTTGCTTTTGAAAAATGATCAGTCCTAATATTTGATCAATCAGAGGAAAATGGTGGAAAATGAGTAAAAACATACTGAGAAAAAGCAAACAAACTGGATGCGAGTGAAAAACTGGGGAGATATAGCTATACTATGATAAATGGAAATGAAAAGAGACAACGTGTCTACATCACCAATATCGCAAATATTAAACTATCAAAATACAGCCATTTATCGAGTACCTGCTAATAACATTAGCAATCCAACCTGGGAGTCTACATATGTATACACCTTCTAGATAGTCTAAACCAAGAGTTCAGTAGCTCCCTGACTATATTGCACAATATTATAATTATTATTATTGTTCCCTTGGGTTCCTAGTGGAACATAGGGCTTCAACTACACGTCTCCACTTGCTTCTGTCTTCTGCTGTACTTTTCACTTGCATCCATGTTAGTCCATACTGTTTCAACTCTTCTTCACACGATCTCCTCCATGTCACCCTTGGACGTCCCACTCGTCGCTCCCTTTCGGGTTCCACTCGAGCTATGGCCTGACGCGCGATGTCACCCAGCGGCCTCCTCAGCGAGTGTCCAATCCATCTCCACTTTCTCCTGCATACTTGTTGGGCGATTGGTTCTTGTTTTGTTTGTTCCCATAGTTTCTTGTTGGTGATTCTTTCCGGCCATCTGATCTTCAGTATAGAGCGAAGACAGCTGTTGATAAAGGTCTGCAACAGGCTGTTGGAAATATTGTTTGTGACCCGCCAAGTTTCTGATCCATCCGTATAGAAGAACTGACTGACTTGACGTTTGTATTGAAAATCCGAATCATTTTGTTGTTGATGCTGAGTGACGAAGATTTCCAGATTGGTTTCAGGTTGATGAATGTGTTTCTCGCCTTCCCGATTTTCGATTTGACATCCTCGTCCGTTCCGTGGTCTGTAGTTGAGACAATGCTCCCTAGATAAGTGAATGAAGTAACCTCTTTCAAATCCCTCCCGTTGATGGTGATTGGCGCTGGATGTTGCTGTTGTTGTTGTTGGTGGTGGTGGTGGTTGGTTATTTTCATAACCTCCGTCTTGTCTATGTTCAACTGGAGTCCTGTCTTCTCTGGCTGCTTCTTCGACCAGTTTGTCGGTTTTCGCTTGTAAGTCTTCGATTTTGTGTCACATCAAACATAAATTATCCAAGGGCGAAATCCAGGTCTTCTAGGTTCTTCACGTCGGTCCAGGATATCCCTGTCTTCTCGTTTCCCACTGTCTGACGCATAATCCAGTCCACCACAATTAGGAGTATCATTGGTGATAATAAGCACCCTTGTCTGACTCCTGTGTTTACTCCAAACGCCTCGCTGAGTTTTCCGTTGTGGATCACTTGACATGTGCCGTTGTCGTACAGCTGTTGAATAAGGTTGATGAATACTTGGGGTACGCCGTAGTACTCGAGTAGTTTCTAAATTACTTCGCGGTCAACGCTGTTGAAGGCCTTCTCAAAGTCTATAAAGTTGAGGTAGAGGTTTGATTGCCATTCCATGCTTTGTTCGATGATGATGCGTAGAGTTGCAATTTGGTCAGAACATGATTTGCCTTTCCTGAATCCAGCTTGTTCTGGTCGGAATTCTGTATCCAGTGCGTCCTTTATTCTCTCCAGGATGATGCGACTCAGAATTTTGCACAATACGTCTGACTGAACGTAGTTCTACTTCACTATATCTCTATACTGACGATCATACGGGCGGCCAGAAGGGATTAGCAACAAGAAACTTTGCATTATTGCAGTGAACCGATCAACAATTTACTGCCCCAAAAATATGCCTAAGAAAATTGAAATGGATTGCACACACTCATGAGACCGTTGGGTGATATCGCGCACCAGGTGTCCTCGAGAGGAAGCCGAATGGGAAACACAACGAGTTGGGTGTGGTTCCAAGGGTGACATATGAAGGAGATCATGTGAAGAGGAGGAGGAGGTGAGAGCTCATCAGCGATCGTGGAGCCAGCCAGAGAGGACTGAAGAGAACAGGATAAAGTGTGCTATTGAAGCCTTATGTTCCACTCGGAACCTAAGGGAGTCTCACACTAATAAAATACCTAACATGCTTTATAAGGAAAATAGTTTTGAGTTGGGAAAAAAGCAACACCTCTAGTGTGTGTAGTGCAGCACAGCACAGCACAGTCCAGTACATTTTAACATTACTCAAGATATAAGGTATATACATATCAATGAGATTTATTAAAAACTCACCAAATCTGCAACAGTAATCCCAGTCGATATAACTGGCACAGACAGATTTGTTGGACAGACTATATTGTTCGAGTATACAGATGGTATTATCGTTGTTGTTGGTGTTGTTGTGGTTGCTGTTTGACTAGAAGGTAACTGATTGGACTTTGTTTCAACGCTTTGTAAACTATATACAGTCGGTAGACAAGTAGTTGTAATGACATTCCCAGTAAATAAGTTATTTGAACAACTAAACAATGTGGAGTTGGGTTCTGTATAGGCTGTTAGTTTTGAAAAACTGTTGGAATACGTTGACAGATTAGAAGAAGAAGAAGCAGAAGAGGAAGAGCAGCAGCAGGAGGAGGTGACAGTTGACATTAAAGGATTGATAACACTTCCAGAATCGGTAGTCTGTAATGCAAGTAAGAACATATTAGATAACACTGACCTATCCACTAATATACAATGAATGAGATAGATCTTGAACAAAGGGGTGCTAAACTGGTGTAAAGATGTCTTCTCCATTAATATTATCATTAATACTAATTAATTAATTTATTTGAAGCACAAACTTGGCAAAATATGCGCATCAAGAGACGAGCCACACAAAAATAATAAAAGAATATATAAAAAGGAGGGATAGAATGGATGAAGGAGGTCATCCAGAAGGCAAGCAAGCAAGAAAATTTGTCAAGATCATTCAACATTCATCACATTATTTTACATTCAGACGGGGCGAGAAAGAAAGAAATCGTAACATAGTTGCCATTGATTGAGATTCTTAGCCATATCTGGTAACGTTTCTAGCCACCAATTCGAACTATCTCTCAAATCTCGACCAGGGAGTTATGATGTACCAAAAATGTTAATCTTACATAAATATCCTTCATCTCACGGCGCCACATCACAAGTTAACCATCGCTCAGCTTTATCTATTCAGATCTGGGGTTACTGAACAGCGAGTGGTTTGAGAGCTTCTCGGATGATATTCGTAGCACACTACCAAGCCATCGAAGCTGGTGTTTCAAGATGACCACACTCAATGTGGACGGTGACCTCCACGGTATCCGAACCCACGTTGCCGATTATCAGAAGAATTGCTTCCATGATGATAACATAGGGAGCAAACAATTCTACGGAGGCGGTGACGATCGAATACGCAGAGTCACAGCACATCCTCAGTTCGAAGAGGCCAGGTTTCACAGGCGTAGGGTAAGACTGCACGCACAGAAGCATTGTAAACCCAACCAGTGATTGCCAGGCTGACGTCATGACGGCGCCAGAGGTGGCCCAAAGTGGTATGTGTCACCATAGCTTTCATTATGCAACAAGGGATTTTGTCTGTCACACCTACGCTAGCATTCTTACAACACTTGTGTTCTCTGAGCTATGTAGTTCCATCGAAATTTCCAAGACAATATATTCACAGCCCTGACTTCTGTATGAAATGAGCTAATAGAGTCTGATAGCTGCCTCTCCTGGTGACCATGATCATAACTCATTGCCTCCAGAGATAGTTTAGCCCGCCCCCCCCCCCGACTATTTAGCCAATAGAAATCCCAAAAGCATACTCCTTTTTGAAGCCAGCGCTGAAGATGTTATCTAGAAAGACAAAGGTAAAGTTCGCTAATAAGCCACCCAGCTCACAAAACACAACTACACCTATATATTCCATCTGAGCTACAGATCTCTTCCATCAATTTTGAATACGAAACTGAACATTGAATCAATGAAGTAGTAGTGACTGGGTGACTAAGTCTCCACACACACACACACACACGCACACACACACACACACACACACACACACACAACTCACCTGTGGATCACCATTAGAAGCTGTAGACACCATTGGATTACAAATACCACTATGATGACAATCAGATATTGCAGGCAAATGTTTTATAGCAGTATTGAACGCTTCACTTGTAGCCTTTACAACTAATTCATCAGCAATAGTACAAGCACCACCAGCAGCAGCTGATTTAATTTGCTTTTCATAATCCATTGCAACTTTAGCAGCTAATAGAATTTGATTGATTCGTCTTTCAGTTTCTTGTTCTTCTTTAGATAACACATTCTCATCTGATGATGATAGTTCTGACGATTTAGCAGGTTGACGACTGGTGACATTTGTCTCTTTACTACTCGATGGTTGCAGTCTTGGTAAAGGCAGATAATCAGATCTTTGATTCTCCAAGTAGTCATAAGTGGATTCTGTTCTATGCGATTGATTAGCTGCTGCAATATTCTGTGATTCAAGATTGCTGTTATTATTATTACTATGGACAGATGAAGAAAGGGATGGTAATTTCATTGAAGTTAAATCCCACTGACACATTGATGTCTGTTCAACAGGATCTGAGTGCAACACTGGTGGTGGTAATGGCTGTTCGACTAGATTTGAAGTTTCACCTTCAGGATGAGTAGTTACCGTGGCTTAGGTGTATGAGAAGAAACAAACAACACAAGTATGATAATATTGGTATGGATGAATACAACAAAAGTCATTTGTTATATCAGTATAAAAAGGTCTAGAAACGCTTACACTTTTGTGGTCGGTCAACAGGTAGAGCAAAACACCTCATTTTACTTTTCGTCTGTCTGGAAATTGGAAGAAGGATCAATTAGTCTACAGTGGGACTCTGTATTCTACTTATATTGTTTTTTGGAATACGGCCACTATTATAGGGGGAAAATCTACAAACGTTCCCAGACATTTTTACACCATTGCCTCCTTAGTATTACTCATGTTTGGTGCAGCAATCACGTGAATAAGGTAGAAGTTAAAATTTTCTATTGTCTGAGGTGTTTGAGATACATATCGTGCATGACTATCCACCGCGTACATCGGGGTACCATGTTAATCAGTGTAACCAAGCCCAAAGCGTCGGTACCAATCTATGATATGCCTGACTGTCTGTCAGGCAGCCACCAAGTTGCCACAACAGTTTATTGTTAGGGTCATTGGATAATATGAACTGTAATTGATTGCGGTGGCTTAGATTCATCCATAACATACCTTTATTGTTATTCTAATAGCACAGGTTTCGTTTGTTCTCTCTTTTCGTCAAACTTTGTCTTTTTTTTCTGCATCACTTGAACGAATATACCTTAATGCTAGGTCATATGATAATATATCCCGAGGACCCCAGCCGCGCCTGCTAAAGCAGTAATTTTCTGAAAAAGCGTTAAAACACTGTGGATTTACAAAAATAATAATACTGTGATGTCCTTCAATAATTTTGCACAGTTTTCCCTGCTGAGATCCGAGTAAAGCTTCATACGAAGCTCTTTATATAGCATCATCTAATCGTTTAGGCTAAAATAGATGGAGCATAGTTCAATTTCGTGCTAACCTCCATAAACGATCTGGTGGGGGCCAAGGTAGGTTGTCTTCAGTCTTTCCCTCGAAATGCTCTCATGTGGTCACGTATTCATAGTGTTCACCAGGTAAGTCTCATTCAATGCCTTCATACACAGAGCGGGTTTTTCTCACAAAAGTGAAAGGGTGAATTCAAACGTCTGGCGCTTATAACCAGACTGGTGGACATCCACGTCTAGGGAGGAGAATTATAAAACCCTGATTCCATAGCTGTGGTATACATTCGCCCCAGAATCCGAGTGGGTCGAATGGCGTATGAACCTGTTTTGACAAGCGTCAACCATGGGAATGCAGCTCCTGACGCTGTTCTACTGCCTTGTGGATCAGACGACAAGTCAAAGGCCTGAGAGGTGGTCCTTTAAGACAACCACTTTCACTCTGGGCGTCTGGGCAGTATATCACAGGCCTTTCATAAACTATGAGATTTTGTGTGGCGCATTTCTTGGTGCTTGTCATGTGCCAAGTTTATGTTTTAATAATAACAATAAAATAGTGTGTTTCAATATTTTCGCGCAGTTTTCTATGCTGAAATATGAGTAAAGTCCAGTATGCACCGCTTTACACTATATCATCCAATCGCTTAGGCCAAAATACATGGGACACAGCTCAGTTTTTTGCTCAAATGGTTGAGATCCCAGATCAATACCAACGTAACTTCACATTTTATATGAACGGCATTTATTTATTTAAATACATGATACTCACAACACACACACACACACACACGCAAACATAAATACCAATGCATACAACTGACTTACTAGTCCGTTTACGTTGATATGTTTTAAAGTTGCTAATATTATTTGGATCCGATATCCAGGCTTGTAATCGCCTAAATGAATCACGACCACGTGCTGTTAACCTATGCCATGGTCTAGGTTTTGATAATAACTCACTCATAGTTCCTTGACTCAACTTAAGTACATGTTTAGAGAATTGACGTTGAGATATATTATGCTTTAATAGTAGATCACGAACAGTTGAAGCTATTTCAAAGGTATTCAATGGTTCAATTGGATTTTTTATTTTTATTTGGCGTTGTGATGAATCATCAATTGACTCATCTGGACTATCTAATGGATCAATATTTTCATCGGTACCATTGGGAACAACACTGTTAGGATATGATGTAACACGGTGGCTATTTGAATCTTCTAACTTAGGTAGAATGGTACGATTAGAAAATGATATGGTACTACTAGCAGTGGTACTACTACTACTACTACTATTACTAGTAGTAGTAGTTGTTGTTGTTGTAATAGGTAGAAATGTTTGTATTGAGGTAGGATTTGACAAGGTTGGCGTTGGTGTTGTTGTTGTCGTTGCTGTTGTTGCTGCTGTCAGTGCTATTTGTGGACAATAGTTTGACTGTAATGGATTTAAAATCAAAATAGGTGGATACGGCGTTGTTTGACTAGTTTGTGTTGTAGGGAATGATGATGATTGCGATGATGTTGACGATGATAGCAGACCGGTTTGTTCATTTAAAGGTAGATTGTGTATTGATTGATTCACTGGATTAATTGAATTTGGAGTGATTTGTAAATTGACTATTCCATTGGAAGTATGGTCTACAATGGCAAAAAACAATAAATAATCGATTAACATTACTATTATTAAAAAAACCACATCAAGAGATAAGCCATACAAAAAGTCATCAAACAGTAATATAAGAAAAAATGAGAGAAGTCATCTTGAAAGGAAGCAAGTATACTTATCAAGATCATCCAAAGCATGGTTCATTACTTCATGTTATTTTCAAAAAGGGGCAAGAAAGAAGGAAACTGCAGCATGTTCGCCATTGATTACCATTCTTCTTGGCTATATCTGATAACGTCTCCAGCCACTGATTCGAATTATCCCTCGTATCCCATTTAAAGAGCCATGATATACCGAAAGATGCTAGCCAAACAAAGATATCCTTTATCCCACGATACCATGCCATGGGCTTACCACCACCTGTTCATATTTTCCATCCAGTTCAAGGGTCAGAGAATAGCAAGCGGTATGAGAGTGTCTGGGATGGTGTTTCAAGATGACCACGCTCAATGTGAACGGTGACAGCGCAGTGTCCAAATATATACCGATGCCATCGGAAGCAAGCAATTCTACGGAGGCAGTGATGATCGAATACACAGAGTTGGTGTACATCCACACAGCTAGGGGAGGCCAGGTTTCATAGGCGGAGGTTTAAAATTGAAACTGAAAAGTGGGAGTAAGAATAATTTCGAATACAATTAGAAGTATTCACAGGTTACTGACTGATGGTTTTAGTAACAGTGTAGACTAATTGGTTGATTTCGACCTGGGTCACGAGTTGAAATCAGTTGCAGAACCCCTGTGAACCATCAGGAAGTACTGAGTAGTCGTTTCATCCTAAGACGGGACTTTTCTTTAGAGGTGCCTGCTCGTGATTCCACTGGGGGTCGAACCCAAGACGTTCAGGTTACAAGAAGAGTCCCTTAATCATTCGGCCATTGGATTCTAACTTCTGGCAATTTGTGGTTGAGGTTTATGAGAAAAATGAAATCGACAGATAGATGAAACAGCGTGAAAGTCAATGCACTGGCAAAGATATTTTCAAAATCCGCGTTTTTTTTCAGCTTCATCTTCTTGTCTTATAAAGGTTTGTAGAGTTTGATGATTTTATCTCACTTCTTTTTGCTTTTTATCTCCTCCTTTTAACTACCGGATGTGTAAATTTGGCGTGTGGCAATTTAGACCATAAAGTAGTAATGCTAGACTGTGATTGCATATTATGATGAAGTTAAACTATAGAGCCCCGGAAGTACAGACGCACCAATGATCTTTAACTGACCAACTGCATTAAAGAGATGAATTTGAGCTGAAAAAGACTGTGTAAGAATATCAAATAGGATACTATTTTCTTTTAAATGTTGTAGAAATAATTCCCAGTTTCTCTAATCAGTATCGATATTCATCCAAATGAGACTAGAGTCAAGGTTCAGTTTAAGGCATTCAAGCAGATAATGTCTTCTCTAAATCTTGAACGCTATTCACTGTCAATACTTTACTCAGTTTTTCAGCTAAAAATGCTCTACTACTTATGTGTACGCTGAACAGCTGCTTTATGCTTCTCGATGAGTCCGTTCACTTGACTGACCATCAGTAGTTTAATTTCGCTCACAACATTTGTCTGTCTACCTATGCAGAATATTCGAATTTTAGTTAAATCGATAATTCTGATTCCAAAATAAAACATAAATAAATAATTTATTTTTAAGTGTTGATGGTTTTCAGGGATTCGATCGGTTACAGGTTTGGTCACGAGCTGACACGCCAGTTAGAGAGCCATTGGGAAACCAACTGTTTCGTCCTAGTTTGAGACTTTTCAGGGATCGAACCCAGGACTTTCAGGTTAGAAGGCAAGCTTGTAGACTATTCAGCCACTGGGACCTGATCCAATGGTGCATGAATTCCAACTTCTGCAAATCTGCGATATATATATAGTGCGACAGTCAGCCAATGTCATCGGCGAGTAACTGTCCCCTTACTTGAACTGGTGGACTCCGCTGATTACTAGAACTCTAAGTAACTTCCTGTTTAGAGACAGTTGTTAGCGAGAATCTGATTAATCTAGTAATTTATTATCAGTAGTAGTAATTAGATTAGCTACCAAATACAACTTAGGGACAATTTTAATATAACCGTTATATGTTGTCCAGCTGAAACGCATGCACACCAACCCAATTGGCGATGAGCTACACCTATCGTGTGTAGGTGTAGGCTACTGGCATCACCTGGTAGGCAAAGCCATGTCATATGGCGCGGTTTCGAACCTATAACCACTCACTGGTCAATAGTTAAATGTCTAATCCGATGAGTCAAGAGCCACATTTCTACCCTACAATGTAGTATCATCTATTATGTAACTGCGACGTGTGCTACTGACAAGATTTATCAGTAGTATATAAACAGACGTTCATCGGAACGAAAATATCAAATAGCTGATAGATAGTTTTGAAGTCTAAGAGAGGAAATGAATCAGTATTGCAGCAAAACATGAGAGAAAAGAAAACGAAAAGACAAAGAAACACAATACGAAGGAAGGGCAGAAGTAGCAAGCAGAACACGAAAGATCTGTTCAAATTACAATTTTTATATAAATGGTATACGTAAATAATTTCCCTATATGTGTATATCAAATTACAAATAAACACTCCATTACCAACCATTCTTGTGTTCTGCCGTTACACAACAAATTCATAACACACACCCACAATTAACAAACCATATAGCTTTCTCGATAATATGGGTTCAATTTCAGTTAGGGTTTTTTTTAACAGGCAGGGTTGATGGATAATTATTTAACACTTGAGAGTTTACCCTTTTGTTAGGCATTGTCTGAAAGTTTTTAGATTTTAAAAGTTCTATAGATGTTATAATAAATAAAGGGCGCTTCATGTAGAGATGTAGGTTTTTTTTCAAAACAACTTTAAGTACATTTTCACATATTATTTATTTATTGATAAAATGTACTATGACTATAAGAGGTCAAGGAGAATATCAAAATATATATATATATAGTTACAGATGAATTCTAACTGACTGATTCCAGACAATCTTAACAGATGAATCACATTTGAATAATGTCTTGTCTGTTGTTTGACAGTGATGTTAAAGCATCTTGAATCTTGAGTTTCACTAGTTTCATCAATAGATACACATCTTGGTAGTCTCTGGAAGTAAATACTGCTTGATAGTCATATCTAAGCAGCAGGCTTCAGCAATAAACGTCTAAAGTTATATCATTATTGTTTCATGCTAATTATATGTGGCGGCTTATTACATCAGAAATTCTTAATCTTTACTAATATCCTAGTAGAGCTCAATCAAACAGGCGTATATTTTGAGGATATGCCATATCATAGCACTTGTCTGAAGTCAGTTTCATGAACAGCTCACTCACATTCCAGGCTGATAGACATACAATTATTGTTCGAGGATTGATGATACCACCCACGCACCCCCACCGACTAAAGTAGGCGAAGCAAGATTCGAACTCATGACCCACTGGCTTAAAGTTGAATCCCCCACTACAAACTTAATAATATTAGTGCCCATACTAGACTGTTCGCCAACCACCCACGCGGTTCAGGGTTCAAACTCCGGTCGACGAGCATTCTTAAGTTCGCTAAGCCGATAAAAAAGCCGGTAAAGAAGGAAGGTTGGGTGTGAGGCTAACAACTCACCCGTATAAATAAGACTACTGTTGGTGGAACTTCAAAGCCCTACACCTTTAGGTCCTATGTTCCACTCGGAACAAAAAGGAGTAAAAACAAAACTAAACATCTCATTTTGACATTCCTTACATTGTATTTTAAGTTCAACAATTTAGTGAATAGCCAAACAAAAGAAACAAAATAACCAACAACGACAAGAGAATATTTCTCTTTCTCTTCTCTTTCTTTCTACATGACTTACCATCTTCAAATGACATTAATTTTGTCAAATACGCTGACGATCTGTCTGTATCTTTGCCTATCAAATGTCAAAGCGACTGCTCTAAACTTAATGGCTTTCTGTCAGAAATCAGCCAGTGGTCCAAGGAAAATGGTCTTACCCTAAACCCCTCCAAATGCCAAACAGTCAATTTCACCTTGAGGCATAAATCCGATCTAAACAAACTGTTTGGCTCTTACGAGGTATGCAACATAGACGGCACTGAAATAGAAACTAAATCGGAAATTAAATACCTAGGTGTCATTCTATCTGCTGATCTCTCCTGGTTGTCTCATATCTTAGCAATTTCTAAGAAAATATTCCGTCTTACCTTCTACATCAAGAAGTTAAAACATTCTGGTATTACCCAACCCTTACTCCTACAATTCGTTAACTCTCGCATTCTGCCTATTATTCTCTATTGTTCCCCCTTAGTTTTTCCCGGGCTACTGAAGAAAGACTATAACATATTACGCAGGATGTTAAATGTTGTCAGCAGGGTAAGCAACGTGCCACTTAACCAGCTTGTTAATATTCTGGTTGACAGGCACATGGACTCATGTGAAAAATGGGCCAAATCCATTTTATCTAACTCTCACCACCCTCTTCACTCACAACTCTCCCCTTGCATCTCATCAGGTAAAACCAGAAGCCTATATAGAAAACTATATGCTTGCACCAGCAAGTACAAAAACTCAACCATACCCTACTTAGCTCGTGTTCTGTGCGATAAAGAAAGCATTAGGCGTGACACCTATAACTTATTAAATAGTCAGTAGAACAACTGAACCTCGTCTTTCCAACTCATATCATTTATAGGCACAACATTTTCTTTCTTTCTTTTCCTTTTCTCTCTCTTTTTTTTCCGTTATGTGCTGCTTTGTTTCTTTCTCTCGCTTACGCCAGTTAATAAGACAGCACCCACTTTTCTAACACCTTCAAACACTGTTTCAGCTTTACCTTTGCTACCGACATGCCAATGTATTGTTGTAATAATGAACTGTGATTTCCTCAATCTATGTAGAATTCTATTTATTGATAATGTACTAACTGGATGCAATACTGTAGTAAAAATGCTGAGAATTCCATTCTGTATCACAAGTACTGT